TGGAAGGGCCGCACTATCTCAGGGCAAGTCAAGACCAAGGATAGCCTTGTGCTCACTTTAGATGAGGGTAGTGTGGACGAGATCCCCTACGACCAGATTGAGTGGGGGTTCGAGGAGGAGGACAGTAGTGTGGGCCAGGGGAGGACTTACGCTGCTGTCGCGGCTGGAGGGAGACCGCAAGGAGGAAGAGGCCAGGGCCAAGGGGCCGGGCCTCAGGGAGCCGGTTCCAGGGCGATCAGGGGGTTGGCGGCAGAGAAGGGAACCGCCAAGCGGGAGGTAGGGGTCAAGGTCCCCCGCAAAACCGTCCTAGGAACAGGTTTCTCTATAGAGTAGGAGGATGGCACCCAGGGCTACCTCAGGGTAGGCCGAGGGAATCTTTGGGTATGGACCAGGCTTTATGGCAACAATGATTGAACCGGGGCCAGTGCATTTTCTGCGGTGACCCGGGGCATATCATCAAATATTGTCCTAAGTATCGAGAGACCCGAACGGCTGCTCAAGAGCCAAAAGGCAGCCGCCGGTAGGGGTAGCAACTGCCCCTACCACTAGGCCATGTGGGGAAAATAGCGCTAACCGGCATGAGACTCCCACACCACATGTGCCTACGGCAGAGGTTGCAGGCCGGTGTCTAGGCAGCTGTCCCGAGACTGCTTGTGTTAGAGTTTCGCTAGACACCTCCCTCACAGGCGTGGCAGAAGAGTTGAAGGAGAGGAGGCCCGCCTGGGCCCAGATGAAGAAGGAGAATAAAGGGCAGCTGATTTTATTAGATGCAGAGATTTTTAGAAGTGGAGTAGGGGCCCTAATAGATTCAGGGGCCACCCGCAGCTATATTAGTAAGCAAGCGCTGCAGAAGTTGAGGCTGGGACTTAAGGTCCAGAAACTGACAGACCCCATAGTTAGTATCCTCGCGGACAATCGTACCATGGTTGTAGAGGATTACGTAGAGGGAGTTCAGGCGTATTTTCGCCTAGAGAAAGATGGGAAGGTGGAGAAGGTCCTCCACTCCCTGACTCTCCTCGTAGAGGACAGCCTCCCGTTCGATATAGTACTGGGAATGGATTGGGGAGAGGCAGCCGGGGCAACGCTCCATCTGAAGGAGCACGAGTGTAGACTCCCTAGTTTTGCAGGTGAGGCTAAGATTGCCCGCCTGTTTCATGTGTCAGGAGTAGAGAATTCCTTGGTACATTGCTGCCTTAGTGCCCCTGCGTTCGCCAAATTGGTGAAGAAGGAGAAATTAGAGGAACAGGTCTTTGTTGCCTATGTTAGGCCCGGGACTGAGCCTACGGAAGAGAAGCCGATGGACCCTGCGATTGCGAAGCTGCTGGAGGAGTTTAAGGATTTGACTGAGCCGCCGACAGGCACGGTGCCGCGGCCCATCCAACACCGTATCGAGATAGAGCCTGGCAGTAGAACTCCTAAGGGTGCTGTGTATAGGATGTCCCCGCGGGAGTTAGAGGAGCTTCGCAAGCAATTAGACGAGCTCCTCGAGAAGGGTTGGATTAGGCCCAGTTCGTCTCCTTTCGGAGCGCCTGTTCTCTTTGTTCCTAAGAAAAAGGGAGAGCTGAGAACGTGCATAGACTATAGGGGTCTGAATGCTATTACAGTAAAGAATGCTGAGCCACTACCTAGGATCGACGATCTCTTAGATCGAGTGCAGAGGGCTAAGTATTTCTCTAAGATAGACTTAAAGTCCGGATATCATCAGATAGAGGTACACCCTGATGATAAGTATAAGACAGCCTTCCTGACTAGGTACGGGCATTATGAGTTTATAGTGATGCCCTTTGGACTAACCAATGCGCCAACAACTTTTCAGCGGTGTATGAATGATTTGTTGAGGCCGTGGTCAGACAGATTCGTTGTAGTTTATCTAGATGACATCCTAGTATTTAACCGGACCCTCGAAGAGCATCGGGGTCATCTCAGGCAAGTCTTGGAGAAGCTGAGAGAAGCTAACTTCAAGATCAATGCAAAGAAGTGCGATTGGGCGAAGACCCAAGTTTTGTATCTAGGCCACGTCTTAGACGGAGACGGCGTTATGCCAGAAGATAGCAAGATCGCAGCGATTAGAGATTGGCCCACCCCACGTACGCTGACAGAGTTGCGCTCGTTCCTGGGCTTAGC